AAGGTACTGTATTTATGGCAAGGCTTCATGAACAGTTGAAATACTTTGTGGCTGAGAAGATGTCCAAYGACCCTGCTTGGCATGGACTCAAAGTATACCTCTCAGGACATCAGGTACAGACAATAAGGATTAAGGTTCTTACAGAACCCTAGTTASGAGTATCTGGTACTCATCCAACATTCACCCCTGTACATTTTTTTCTTTTGTCTAGACCCCAGGAGAAGGAGAACATAAAATCATGGAGTTTATTCGAACAGAAAGATCTAAACCAGATTACGACCCTAACACTAGGCATTGTCTGTATGGTTTGGATGCAGACTTGGTGAGTTTAGCTAATACCAAACACTTCACTAAAATACTTTACTCTGAAGATGACTTCTGCTCAGGTTGTTGAAACATCAGTTATCACCAACAACAGTCTTTCTACACTCACTCACCTGGATTAGCACACTTCACAACAAACTTACAATTGTAGCTACATGTTATACTGTTGTTCATGAGTATCAAAAATAAGGCCTATACATGACTTTCAAAAATGGAAGCCTGGTAAGTAAGGCCTCATTAGTAAACAAAGTCTACTCAGTACGATATTTTGCAAAGTCATTCACCCTTATACTTCAATAGACGCTTAAAAGAACTGGAATTGGTGTGATGAATGACTTTGATCGTACTGAGTAGACTTTGACTAATGAGGCCTTACTTACCACGCTTCCATTTAATTGTCCCAACTGCATTTGGCGGCCATTTTTGAAAGTCGTGTATGTTAAGCCTTATCAAAMTTGAATATGTAACTATGATTGGGGTTTGGGCAAGATTTATCAGTTTATGATTTCTTGCTTGCTTTAGAATGCTCTTGTGTTAACTTTATACATTATTTGTATTGTTTTAAGATGATGTTGGGTCTATCATCTCATGAGCCTCATTTTTCTCTCCTGCGTGAGGAAGTACGATTTGGAAARACTTCTAAAAGGTAAATACTGTATGTTATGTAGTTTCTTAAATTGTTTTGTGCGATGAAGTTTATGTAGTGAACAATTTATTTTTTGTTTGATTACAGAATAGAGAAGCCAGAGAAYATTACATTTCATTTACTTCACTTGTCCTTGTTTAGAGAGTATTTAGACTGGGAATTTAGCTCACTGAAGGTACATTGTGCATCATCAACATCATAATCATCATCTTTGTCATCATCATCATTGCCATCATCACCATTATCATTATCATCACCATCATCATCACTTTCATCATCATCACTGCCATCATCATCATCATCCTCCTCCTCCTCATCACCACCATCATCATCACCACTTCCATCATCATCATTGTCTTGTTATCATATTCACTGTCATCATCATCACCAACTATCATCGTTATCATTATATAAACCATTAATCAGGTGTAAGAATCATTGTTTATCTCCATACCACATCATGAATGTTCATCATCATTGCCTACTACTGTATCAWTTTTGTGTGTCATAATTTTTCCCTGTCATATGTTCTTGATATTTTTCCATTTATTCTTATAATAATGATTTTTTTTCAGAGTTCCTTGACATTTCCCTTTGATTTAGAAAGATTAATAGATGATTGGATCCTCATGGGGTTTCTTGTSGGTAATGATTTCATTCCTCATCTTCCACATCTACACATAAACCATGTAAGTAACCATGTACTATCCTCAGTAAAATGTTTTATTTTATTAAATATTATTATCTTTAAATCTGTGCCTTAAAATTAAATAAAGGATCTGTTATTTATCTGCGTAGGGATACACATTTTATCTACGCATGCTGAGGTGATATCTTAAGCCTGGTTCACAGGAGCAAAGCAAACGCAAGCGCAAACGCAAACGCAAGCAATGTTCACACGTACAACGAAAAYACAAGTAAATTAAGATACGCATGCGCAGTAGTGATTGTTTATAGTTCACACATATTTTCCTTGCGTTTGCGTTGCTTGTGTGAACCACGTCTTGCGTTTGTGCTTGCGTTTGCATTTTCTCCGGTTCACACATTAAAAACGCAAACGCAAGCACAAGAAAATGGAAAATTTTCCATTTCTTGCGTTTGCGTTTGTGTTTGCGTTACTGTAGTTCACAGTCACGTAGTTTTCTTGTGTTTGCGTTTGCGTTTGCGTTGCTTGTGTGAACCAGGCTTTACGAGTCCATTAGCACAGCAAACTTACCATAATATATAAAGAAAGATACACCTGTAGATATTTTATTGATTGTTCATAATATGTACTTATTGACTTAGTTGGAGGGCCGTACAGGAAAATATTTGGCTCAAGGTGATGCCGTACAGACCTCACTGCGCTCGGTCCRTACAAATGACCGAGAGCCAAATATTTTCCTGTACGGYGYGACCTAACTCAGTCAATAAGCATTTTATCATATGACCCTCACGAAAAGAAAAATAATATGATAAAAAAAAAGAAAATACGGTCGCAGGTTTCGAGCAGGGCCATATTCTTTATGATTAGGTCATGCAAAAAAAAGTGTGTTTCCTGTTGCATGAGGAAAATAATTGGGGTCAGTAGGTTGGATTTTTTCTTTCTGATTCAACAGTGGAAATGAGCTTACTGGGAACCCTGTGGTCCATTTGAAAATGAAAAAATATAAGGGTCGGCAAAAATTGGCAAGAAAATTAGGGTTGGTTGCACAACAGGAAACACAYTTTTTTGTTTGCCTTATCTTCGTTGTTTTGTTTATTTATAATTTATTATCTATAATTTATTATTTATTTATACTGTAGAATGCTCTTCCAATGCTATATAATGTATATATGGAAGTCATGCCGACACTAGATGGTGAGTTATGAAGTTGTTGTAAMCTCTGTAGTTTAGTATTTACGGTATGTTTGAAGTAGAATATCCTGTAGTTTGTGTGAATGTGAAACCTTATTTTCTTTAACCCACAGGTTATTTACATGAAGGAGGGAATCTGTGCTTGGGTAGATTTGAAAAATATCTAACAGCATTATCAAAGGTAAACCATTCGATAGCAACCATCATAGCAACCATCATAGCAACCTTCATAGCAACCGTCATAGCAACCATCATAACCATCACATCAACCATTCATAGCAACCATTCATAGCAACCTTCATAGCAACCATTCATAGCAACAGTCATAGCAACCGTCATAGCAACGATCACATCAACCATTCATAGCAACCATTCATAGCAACCTTCATAGCAACAGTCATAGCAACCATTCATAGCAACCATTCATAGCAACCGTCATAGCAACCGTCATAGCAACCATCATAGCAACCATCACATCAACCATTCATAGCGACCATTACTGCAATCATAGCACTCATCATATAGCAATATCATACATGTAGCAATTAACATATCAACGTCATACAGCTRTAGCCATGTCATAATTATATAGCAATATCATCGCAACCAATTTCTACTTATCAAATGAATGCATGTTTTGTGAGGTGCTATATTTAATAACTTTGTTTTATTTTTCTACATTTCCATTAAACAAACAGTTGGATCGAGAAAAATTTGATGAGATATTTGTTGACATGAAGTGGTTTGAGGCCAAGACGAAACATGGCTTTGACAAAAAACCTGGGAAATCAAAAGCCAAGGTACACTTATATATGTATACAGTATACTACATTTATATGATTATATGATGAATAAAAGACTTGCTTATTGTGCCGTGTGCAGCTATTCAGCTGTACAGCATGATATTGACAGAAAACAGCTGCGCCTCATGCTTCTCTTAACACTTACATGTATCCTGTGTTCTGCCAATTTTCACAAATTCAATTACATCTTGAAAATAATGAGGATTACAGGCTTGTTAGCACTTGGTTTTCAAAATACTATGAAGTTTGTATATGTAATAGGACTCCATGCTGTCCAATTAAGAAATWATTGGATGAGAAAAATTCYKAGGACTTCCAAAATTGGATGASGCCGTAGGCCGAGTCCAATTTGGCAGTCAGAGAAATTTTTCGAGTCTAATTATTTCTTGATTGGGGAGCATGAAATCCCATTACCTATTAATTATATAGCTGCCTAATTAATCCCATATCAACAAGACCTGTCCAATTAAGACCTGTCCAATTTCTGGATAGGTGTGGACGGGCCTAAATCAAATCTATACTCTCTATTCTTGCAGGCTAACCAGGATCAGGGTTTTGCATCTGATAACCCTTTTTCAGCCCTTGATACTCTCTCAGATCAATTGGACAAAACTAATCTAGAGTCAAAAGACCAGTTGAGCCCAGAACTAGCCAAACTGGCTGCTACGATGGAYGACGAAGAAGACAAGGAAGGCGAGGATGTTTTTGAGATAGAGTTTGCTATGCATAAGAAACAATATTACAGAGAAAAGTTTGAAATTGAAGACATAAACAGGTACTGTAAATGTGCTTTAGACCTCTTTAGCATGAAAAGAATGCTTTGGGAAGCATGGACCTGACTAGATGTCCCTAATTTACAGWGGGAGGAAAACTAGAGAACCCAGAGAAAAACCATCATGCGAGAGAAAAATACGCCAAACAAACTCAACTCATATATGTGGTTTAGCTGGGAATTGAGCTCACAACCCCAGGTATGACTCCATGACCCCTCAAGAGACAGTGCCTTACGATAGCTGTATATTCCACTTATTGTATCAATTCATATTATTTAAGTACATGTCTAAATAATATGTGATTTTGTTGTTAACAGCGATGGACTATCACGTATAGTGTGGGAATACGTCAGAGGAATACAGTGGATTCTACATTACTATTTCAATGGAGTACAATCTTGGGGCTGGTTAGTATCATATAGAATTAGGAATGTAGTGTACTTCTTAACCCCTAGTTAATRGAAACTATATGGTCATCCGATCCAAAAGACTTACCATTTGTGGACTGAGATAAAAGGTACATGTAGTACCTTTTACTGTACTTGGATCATATCTTAAGACCCTAAGCGTTGTTCTGGCCACGGGGTTTGAACCAGCCAATAGACTTCTTTATCTTGGGCTTATATTTTCCCATTTTAGAGCACATAAGTGATGAGTTTTTTTTCCTGTTGTATCATTATTTGTGTGTCTTCTTATGCAAAACCATTATAAACAAAAAAATGATGCTCTAGGGAATGGCACAGGGTCTGAAATGTGCAACRAAATTAATAGGCGCTTTGCAGTTAACGGTCACGTGTCTGTACTGGAATGCAAAATGTTTGTTTTTATATTAAATTGGTGATTCTTTTTAGCTAATTGTAAAGAACTGAATGAAAACATGTGTATCGATCTCTCGAAACAGGTTGTAGAAAGTTTGTTTGCAGTACAGTAAATTTCACCCATGGGAATCAAAATGTTCATTCATTTGTTCTCAGTGAATTAATCAGCACGTGATTGCTTAGCTGCAATACGTCTAAGCAAAAGAGATCTAGTCAGTGCTCAGTCAAAGCAACCATGTTATGATACCCAAAATATTCAAACTTAATAATAATCATTAAATCGTTTTTAGATATATAACAAGTCCTTTAATGCTAGACATCTTTCGGCAGTCCAGCTGCCATCACCAGTAGTAGATAATATAGATCACAAAGCTAACTAGTTATATAGCAAAAAATATATATGAATATATAGTGATTATTAAATTATTGAATCATTATTATAAATTATTTATTGATATTGATTTTGAAGTGATTTTTCTTGCTTGTTGCAGGTATTATCCTTATCACTATGCACCATTCTTATCAGACTTGAAATTCTTTTCTGATCATAAACTTGATTATGAAATGGGCAAACCATTCCTGCCGTTTGARCAACTACTGGCTGTTTTGCCTGCGGCAAGCAAACAACTCCTCCCTYTGCCATTACAGGTAATGTGGACGAGTGTATCACCATCATTGTCATCATTCATCATTTTCACTGTCATCAGATTTTATCATCAGCACCATCATTATCGTCAACATGATTATCATAACCACCCAGTTAGCTCAGTTATTATCAGCATAATCAACATCATTATCTTAYGCAATACCTCCATTATTGTAATCTTCATCATCTTAAATCATTACGGCCATCAATGCCGTTACGGACGGTGCATTGATATAATTTTATAATTATCTTTCTCAYCAGAACCTGATGATCATGGAAGAGTCGCCCATCATAGACTTCTATCCTCTAAACTTCAAAACTGATCTGAATGGTAAACAACAGGAATGGGAAGCTGTGGTTCTTATTCCCTTTATCAATGAGGTAAAGATGAATTTTTAAAGGGTTTGATCTGTGAGTTAGCCATGCCCTGACTTAGACCAGCCCAGAGGTTATTTCAGGGTTTGATCTGTGAGTTAGCCATGCACTGACTTAGACCAGCCCAGAGGTTATTTCAGGGTTTGA